GAAAAATGTTTTAAGGTAAGTAGGTTTGCATGATTTAGGGTAGTATTTTATAGGCATTAAAAAATATTGGATAACCAATTTTTGACTGTAATCAATATGTACAGTGTAATATAAGGATCCTGGCAATTGTTTCTTGCATAGTGATTTTTTTTTTCTCCAAATGATAAAATGATGGAAAAGTGAACTACATTGGCCTCCACCTAACATATATTTTCATTTTTAATTTGATTTCCTTTTATCTATTCAAACCTAATTTTTCAATGTTTGTTGTTCAGATGGATTATGGTTATTAAGAAAAATATTTCCTTAACCTACGAAATAAAAGAAACTAAATTAGGGAAATTAGTAACTTTCATAAAATTCTCTTACTTAGAAAACTAAACAAAGCAAGTTCGTCAATAAAGGTAACTTGGTGTGCTTGATTAGTATAAATCCAATCACTAGCTAAGTGCCAGCCCCACAGAATGTATACATTGAGATGTTTAAAAAGTGTACTCATTTCAATTTCCATTGTCTTTAGGTTTATCTCAGAGATTACCTCCACTTTTCACCATTATCTGAAATTCTACCTAAATGCTCACATGAATTGTTTTTGGAAATATGGATCTAAAACACAGAAGGTGAGATTGGTGAGAAGGTGTTGAAAAATTAGAACTGTCATATCATAATTGTTCTAGCTATACCTTATTTCACTAAAATATATGGGATTACCTACAAATTCAAGTCTATTTAATGAATCTTATGCTTCCATTTACTTACTTGCTGTATATATGGTAAAAATGACAATGTTTAAAAATATTTCTAGAAAAGATTACCCCCTAGAAATATCTATATATGTGAAATGATCCAGAGTAACCTATACTGGCAAATCATGTAGGAATTAGTTGAAATCCAATGATTATCATCACTCAAAGGAAGTTTAGGTAAACCATGTTTCCCATAGACGATGAATTGTCACAGTACAAATGCACATATGTGATAAAATACATAAAAATGAAATGGGTTTACTTAAAATTAATGCAGATGAGGTGCACATTGTTTCACAGAAAAATATTTATATGATTAGATTGAGTGACTGTACCGATTGCAGCAAATATGACAATACTTGGTTCAGATCTATCATTAACTCTCAGATCCTCGAGTGGCAAAATGGCTAACAATATACTTATCAGTACACATTTATATCACCAACCTTTTAAATATAATCTACAAATATTTGAGTGTTCTGTAGTAATCTTTAAAGATTGTCCAGAAGGTTTTATACAAATATACATACACAGGTGCATGCACAAGCACACAAGTCCTTGAAAGAGAGAATAGGATTAGGCACATTGTCTCTCATTGTTGATTATTTATTCAAGGCCACTAGATCACCTGTCATCTGCAGCATAAACAAAACTATGTAGAATATACCAAAGATGAAATTCAGTTATCTTAATAGTTACATCCAATATCTGAAAAGTGGCACTTAGTAACTAGATGGCAAGTAGGTTGTTTTATTGAATTCAACTAATTATTTTAAAGTAAATGTTGGAAAATACTGTTTTTTCATTTTCATTTTGCCTCTATATTGTTGATTGATCCATATCTTGCTTGAGACAAACTCTAGGTTACTATCTAGCAAATAGTAGGTATTAAGAACAGTGGTCCATTACACAAATACTCTTACTGAGGAAAATAATGTATTTCAGTTTTAATATTCAAAACTTAATTTATCATAAAATGCCTAGAGAATATAGACTTAAATATAGATATTCTGTATGTAAACACAAAGTTAAAGTGTTTGCCCTGCCATATTATTTAACTTTTTTGGATAATAATGATATTTAGGTTTTTAAAAATTATATTTCTTGTACAGCAGATTATTCACTTAATTTTTAAAATCTGGTTTTCTCCTAAGGCATTTCTACAAGTAATTCTCAGCTATGACTACTTAGAGAAAAATGTCCCAAAATAATATGGAAGAAATTTCAAATAGATTCCTTAACATAAAATTGCTTTGAGTTAAAAAAAATGTTAATACAGTACCATCAAATAGTAAAGGTTACTTTCATAATCTTTTCAGTTTTAAATAGCTAATTTTATGAAATTGTTTTATAGTATAATGGAAAGCTAATACTAATTTAAAAAGTCAGATTTCATTCTGCATGTTTTCTTCATTTTTCTCATGCAATGGTATTTTTCTAGTGCTAAAACAAAAGTAAAATAAAATTTTTATACTGGTAAAATTTTTTAAAAGATTGTGTATCAATGATACCTTAAGAATAAATAAATAAAAATAAAACTACCACTGTTTTTTAACCAGAGTAATACAACTGAGGAATAAATGTACTATAAAGCCACTTTATATTTTGAAATGTACATATAAATGACTGATCTACTTTAATTAAAAAACATACCCACAATAAAAGGCAGCCATAAGCATATAAGTCAGAACTTGGAGATGCAGGTTTCCCCATTTTCAGTTCAGGTGGTATCAAACTCAAGTCACCAACCATCATGTTCACTGAGGCTCGCTGACTCTACAAAAACAGTAAGTTACATATTTTAGAGGCAACACAGTTAAGGCAGCTTTCTGTAAAGTCTACTGCATTTAATCAAAACAGAAAACAAATTCATTTGAAATATTTCATTATTTCTTGCTTTCAAATATTTTTACTTTATCTCTGCTATTATAAATTGCTCTTAAAATCAGTCTCATAAAATTAACAGTGAGACTTTGGTTGCCAGTTCACAGTGTGCACTCAAGCAGATTCAAAACTAAGAATCACTGATGCTTTAACATTTGGTATCTCTCTTCTTTTTTAATAAATTTTCTAAGGGTTAAGAGGGGTGCTACTTTATTTCTTTCTCTTTTTTTTTTTGGTCTTATTCAAAAGTTCTCTTGAATTTTTCTCAGATAAGGTTAAGTTCACATTGTGGTAAGTAAAAACTCATTTTAGTGTATTAACTGCGTAAGACTACATGTAAGTTTGCAAAGTAGGGTAAATGCCTAAAATAGTATTATAGTGTACTTTAGTTTAAATGTTGAGAACTTTGCAAATATGCAGAAGAAAAAAGTAATTTTTATATATGTTCCTTGAGTTCACTAAACGTTCTTTTTGATACTGACTCTTGACTCAAAGAATGAAAGTGATGAAGGACTGTTTTCTTAGATTCTGGTTGACTTCTCTTCCAATTTTCTTTAGAAGATTTTACTCATTGATTTCCATTAGCCATTTTATTGGAAGGTTTTTCCACTTGTTCTGCTTTCAGACACAGCAAGTTCAGATGTTTTACTAACTGCTCAACCTGAAAGTGAGAAACTGAAAGATCTGGCCTTTCTTTAGACCTCATAATCTCATCTTCATCACAGACTAAATTTGGTTCCCCAAGTTCAGAAGATACAGGGTTTTTTACTGCTCTTCCATTTTAGCTTCAGTGTCAAAAACATCCCTTCTCTGTGTGGGAATCTCTTCTTCGCCAGGGATAGGTGGTCTGTTCTGCAGTCTTCAGGTCCTCTTCAGGGTTAATCCTATTTGCTGTAGTTGCTTTCTTAGTGTGTGTGTGAGAGGAGGTTTCGACCTTGCCTTTCTACTCTGTCTTTTCCCCCGCTCCTCGAGGTGCTACTTTCTAATTCTGAAAATCCTAAATAACTATTTTAAAAAACTGGAGGTCTACAAAATACTTTCCTTCTTTACTGGCCATTTTCAAAGTATACCATTTCTAACATGCCAAAAGATGATGAGTGACAAAAATATGAACCCTGGATTTTGAAAGATCTTGGTTACAATTTCCAATCTCCCACTTATTTGCTGTGTGACCTTGGGCTTTAACTCTTTGAGCCTAAACTAACTAATTTGTAAAATGAAAATAATATCTACCTTACAATTATTGTAAAGATAAAGGTAATTGACACAATAATTACCTAGCATGTAATCACTAAGCATTATCTTTTCTCCTACTATCTTTATTCTTGCTTCTCAGGTATGGTCCAAAGACTAGTAGCTACAACATCACCTGAAAGCTGGTTAGAAATGCAGTATCTCCATCCCAGAAATGCTGAATAAAAATTTGCATTTTAACAAGATCCCTAAGTAGTTCATACACATGGTAAATCTGAAAAGCAATGATCTTGACTACAGACTACTTTTCAAATTTTTCTTCCTAGTTAGTACTTCAGTGAAAGTTGTGTGGAAAATGGAGCAAAAGGTGAGTTTAATCAACATTTCAGAGCAAATGATTTTAAATGAAGATTTTAACAATGTTACCATTACACAAATACTCTTACTGAGGAAAATAATGTATTTCAGTTTTAATATTCAAAACTTAATTTATCATAAAATGCCTAGAGAATATAGACTTAAATATAGATATTCTGTATGTAAACACAAAGTTAAAGTGTTTGCCCTGCCATATTATTTAACTTTTTTGGATAATAATGATATTTAGGTTTTTAAAAATTATATTTCTTGTACAGCAGATTATTCACTTAATTTTTAAAATCTGGTTTTCTCCTAAGGCATTTCTACAAGTAATTCTCAGCTATGACTACTTAGAGAAAAATGTCCCAAAATAATATGGAAGAAATTTCAAATAGACTCCTTAACATAAAATTGCTTTGAGTTAAAAAAAATGTTAATACAGTACCATCAAATAGTAAAGGTTACTTTCATAATCTTTTCAGTTTTAAATAGCTAATTTTATGAAATTGTTTTATAGTATAATGGAAAGCTAATACTAATTTAAAAAGTCAGATTTCATTCTGCATGTTTTCTTCATTTTTCTCATGCAATGGTATTTTTCTAGTGCTAAAACAAAAGTAAAATAAAATTTTTATACTGGTAAAATTTTTTAAAAGATTGTGTATCAATGATACCTTAAGAATAAATAAATAAAAATAAAACTACCACTGTTTTTTAACCAGAGTAATACAACTGAGGAATAAATGTACTATAAAGCCACTTTATATTTTGAAATGTACATATAAATGACTGATCTAGTTTAATTAAAAAACATACCCACAATAAAAGGCAGCCATAAGCATATAAGTCAGAACTTGGAGATGCAGGTTTCCCCATTTTCAGTTCAGGTGGTATCAAACTCAAGTCACCAACCATCATGTTCACTGAGGCTCGCTGACTCTACAAAAACAGTAAGTTACATATTTTAGAGGCAACACAGTTAAGGCAGCTTTCTGTAAAGTCTACTGCATTTAATCAAAACAGAAAACAAATTCATTTGAAATATTTCATTATTTCTTGCTTTCAAATATTTTTACTTTATCTCTGCTATTATAAATTGCTCTTAAAATCAGTCTCATAAAATTAACAGTGAGACTTTGGTTGCCAGTTCACAGTGTGCACTCAAGCAGATTCAAAACTAAGAATCACTGATGCTTTAACATTTGGTATCTCTCTTCTTTTTTAATAAATTTTCTAAGGGTTAAGAGGGGTGCTACTTTATTTCTTTCTCTTTTTTTTTTTGGTCTTATTCAAAAGTTCTCTTGAATTTTTCTCAGATAAGGTTAAGTTCACATTGTGGTAAGTAAAAACTCATTTTAGTGTATTAACTGCGTAAGACTACATGTAAGTTTGCAAAGTAGGGTAAATGCCTAAAATAGTATTATAGTGTACTTTAGTTTAAATGTTGAGAACTTTGCAAATATGCAGAAGAAAAAAGTAATTTTTATATATGTTCCTTGAGTTCACTAAACGTTCTTTTTGACACTGACTCTTGACTCAAAGAATGAAAGTGATGAAGGACTGTTTTCTTAGATTCTGGTTGACTTCTCTTCCAATTTTCTTTAGAAGATTTTACTCATTGATTTCCATTAGCCATTTTATTGGAAGGTTTTTCCACTTGTTCTGCTTTCAGACACAGCAAGTTCAGATGTTTTACTAACTGCTCAACCTGAAAGTGAGAAACTGAAAGATCTGGCCTTTCTTTAGACCTCATAATCTCATCTTCATCACAGACTAAATTTGGTTCCCCAAGTTCAGAAGATCCAGGGTTTTTTACTGCTCTTCCATTTTAGCTTCAGTGTCAAAACCATCCCTTCTCTGTGTGGGCATCTCTTCTTCGCCAGGGATAGGTGGTCTGTTCTGCAGTCTTCAGGTCCTCTTCAGGGTTAATCCTATTTGCTGTAGTTGCTTTCTTAGTGTGTGTGTGAGAGGAGGTTTCGACCTTGCCTTTCTACTCTGTCTTTTCCCCCGCTCCTCGAGGTGCTACTTTCTAATTCTGAAAATCCTAAATAACTATTTTAAAAAACTGGAGGTCTACAAAATACTTTCCTTCTTTACTGGCCATTTTCAAAGTATACCACTTCTAACATGCCAAAAGATGATGAGTGACAAAAATATGAACCCTGGATTTTGAAAGATCTTGGTTACAATTTCCAATCTCCCACTTATTTGCTGTGTGACCTTGGGCTTTAACTCTTTGAGCCTAAACTAACTAATTTGTAAAATGAAAATAATATCTACCTTACAATTATTGTAAAGATAAAGGTAATTGACACAATAATTACCTAGCATGTAATCACTAAGCATTATCTTTTCTCCTACTATCTTTATTCTTGCTTCTCAGGTATGGTCCAAAGACTAGTAGCTACAACATCACCTGAAAGCTGGTTAGAAATGCAGTATCTCCATCCCAGAAATGCTGAATAAAAATTTGCATTTTAACAAGATCCCTAAGTAGTTCATACACATGGTAAATCTGAAAAGCAATGATCTTGACTACAGACTACTTTTCAAATTTTTCTTCCTAGTTAGTACTTCAGTGAAAGTTGTGTGGAAAATGGAGCAAAAGGTGAGTTTAATCAACATTTCAGAGCAAATGATTTTAAATGAAGATTTTAACAATGTTTTGAGTGATAACAGTAGCTGATAAATCAGTATAAAAAAGGAAGACTAATTATAGGAGTAGTCATGATATCTATAGTTACGCACATAGCACATTCAAAAGGTAAACTAATAAGATCCCTAAAATCAAGAACTTTAAAAAACTTATAATTAAGTTATTTTCTTAGGACATTATCTTAATTTTCAGATCAGTTAATATGATAAAAATATTTCAGCAAACATACTTTGTAAAATCCCTCATAATTCAGCATTTCTTTATAGATATACATTTTAATTTTCTCATCTTTTTGAGCCACCATATGAAAACCATTGAGACTAAATATGCACAAGCAGCATTACCCTATGACTTGTAGATGACCAAAGTATAAAGCATTATGACTTATACTAGTCAAAAGGGAATTGTTCATACTACACTGATGGACAGCGACTGCAATGACATATAGGGGGGACTCAATAAAAAGGGTGAATGTATTAACCACATTGTTTTTCTTGTGAAACCTTCCTAAGAGTATATATCAATGATACCTTAATAAAAAATAATAAAAATGAAAACTAAAAAAGGGGGAATTTCTCAGATAATAAAATGTTGGCAAGGATACAGAGAAATTGGTATCCTCACACACTGCTGATGAGAATGTGCAACAGTGCAGCCCCTTTAGAAAAATAATTTGGCTCCTCAAAAAGTAAAACACAGAGGTACCATATAACTCAACAATACTACTCTCAAGAAAAATGAAAACATATGTCCAAACAAAAACTGTATACTAATTCTCACAGCAGCATTATTCATAATAATCAAAAAGTAGAAACAACCTAAATATCTATCAACTGATTGATGAATGTAAAAACAAAATATACTACATCCATACAATGAAATATTTCGGCATTTTTAAAAAGGAATAAAGATCAGATGCATGCTACCACATGCGTGAACCTTGAAAACATAAGGCTAAATGAAATAAACCAAACACAAAAGGTCACATATTGTGTGATTCCATGCATAGAAAATGTCCAGAATAGGTAAATAAATACAGAAAGTTAATTAGTGGTTTCCAAGGGGCTACACAGAGGAGGAAATGAGGAATGACTGCAAGTCAGAATGGGATTTCTTTTTGGGGGTGACAAAAATGTTCTGGAATTAGATCATGATGATCATTGCACAACTTTGTGAATATATTAAAAACTACTACTAAATTGTACACATTATGACATGTGGATTATATCTCAATAAAGTTATTTTAAAAAAGAGAAGTGCCCCCTTGCAATCATATTTATTTTGAGACAGCCCATTTTATCAAAATGGAAAAAAAGGGATCACAATATGCTTTCATTGTCTGGTATTTGCTATCTCTACAAACTGCTCTGAAATAATATGGCACCAAATTAACAGCAAATATAGCTGAACCAGCATTTAAGCTACATGGAAAAGTCCATGGTTCCCAAGTTTCTAAAAATGCTCATTAATCAAAAATAGCTAAGTATGTATACTTAAATATAATCTACTAAGGGGTAGGGCACCAGCAAAAGGGGAGATAAGAGATGGTCACCTAGTTTTTCTTGTATATCTCTTAGCAATTAAATGTTTCTTGATGATGATAAAATAATTCATGATTAATGTTGTCAATGCCATTGACTGTAATGCCAGATTGCTCCTAAGACTTTAACTGTGGTTAAAAAACATAACACACGCAATTTAGAAATTCTTGTTAGAGCACCTATCTGATAACAGATAGTTGCTTGTACTACATGACACTGTATGCCTTAACTGAACGTAAAGATATCATAATAAATCATCATATCATGTAAAAGTGCTAAACTACTGCCTAATAATATTATATGAAATCTAGAACCTATTCATAAAACGACGGTATTTACCACAGATTTGGTGAAGTCAAAATCTCCAACAATTCCTTGTTCACGATTTAAAGCAAATACATTGTTCTGATGGAGTGATCCATGAATTATGTCAGCCTTGTGCAGTGTATGCAGACCCTGGGCAACACCTTTCATGACCTTTAATGCTTCCTATAGATAATTAGATACAAAAAAAGTCAGAAAGTAGGCAAATCATTTTAATACCTGAACCTTTTCTCTAATTAAAAGACTTTTACAGAAGTGAGTAAAGCTTCCTTCAAGTGAACCTTTAATAAAAATACATCACAGAATTATTTAAAGTCCAGAAGAGCCCTGATTANGCTACTGGGTAGGAAGAACCCAGGACATCCTTTATTGTTATTACTCATTAAAATCTGCAACAGAAATTAAAGCTATCACTTAAGCACTTATAATACCAAGTGCTCTACCATGCCATTTATGTATAACACAGCTTCCTAATCATAAGTATGGGCTTTGGTACCAAAAAGACATAATTTCAAGTCCCAATTCTGCCTCTGGATGAGGGACACTGTGCAAGTCACTTACTCTCCGTGAGTCTCACTTCTCTCATCCTTATATAACAGAATAACTCCTATCACAGAATTGATGGGACAATTAAATATTACAAGTCAAAGTTATAGTATAAAGTATACAATATGCCCTCAAAAAACATTAGATATTATTTTCTCATTTAACATATCCACAGAAATAGTGGTTTTTACTTACTTCTGAAGTTAATGGAACACTGGTTTGAATAGCACTCAGGTTTGCCCTAGGATAGTATGGGACCATCAGATAAGCCATAGGATCAGACTAAGAAGTAAAACAGAGAATGAGACTCAAAATGAAAAACTTCAATATATTTTAGTATCACAGGGTAACTTTTAGTGTACAAGATAACATTTCCTTTACTTTAGAAGGAATGAATTAACTCTCTAATACTTGGAGCTAAAACTTTTTTTAAATAAAATGTTTTCTGCAATAGATTAGCATAAGAACATTACCTTACACAAAAATAGGAATATTAGTGGTAGTAACCCAGACTCTTCTTTGGCTTCTCTCCAAGCTCTATGATAAATAGCTGCTCTCTGAATCACCCTGGCTTCTGTGTCAACATCGACAGAATAGCCCTTGTACCAAAAAAGAGCAGAGGTAATTCCAACATTAAAAATCCCACTCGAATTATACATCATTCCAATTCAAACATGATTGTTATATAAATTAAGTTACATCTAATTTAATCTTTAATTGTATAATTACTGTATCTACTTTGAGTGCTACTATTTGGAAAGGAAAGAACAATTCTACCTGTACCTTAATATGCATTCTACAATGTGTAGCCATTAAGGCCAAATTAATTATCCTATTATCATGTTTAACAGTTTCCTAGATCAATAAAAAAATCAAAGAAAAGATGACTATGTTGGCAAAACCATTAGGATTTCAAAGAGAAATATAAGAAAAACAAGAATTTTAAAAGGCTATTGAATAGGATGTAATAAATTCACCCAAAAAAGGGAAACAAATATATCCTATTAAAGAAATATACTATTTAGGGAAGTGAAAGAAACTTTAAATTCAAATTAGTTCTGGCACCCAAACTGGAAGCATAATCATCAAGTCAATCAACTCTCATAACTTGAAAAACAAACAGTGAATTTTTACTTTCCTGGAAAATAACACTACCACTCCCCTTTATAGTTCTGAATCTCCCACAAGTCAGAACATAAACTAACCTTTAGAAGAATTAGCTGCCCGTTCACCTCAGAACACACCAAAGGACGCTTACTGCTGAGTTCCTTCATGGGCTCAGCATCAAGAAGATCTCGTTCCAAGCTCATAGTAAGAAGACCACCAGAGTTCTAGGCACAAGTTTTTGTTACAGCTGCAAAACTCTAACAGTCACAGCACTATTAAATCATCAACCTAACTAATTAAATGCTATTAAATATATTAGACATCAACCCTTCTGGAGAAACCAATAAAATAAAAATATTTAAAGTTTCATATTTTTTCTAGTTCCTGGCTCTTGACTCCTCCCACCCAAGGTATAAACACCACACATTTAATCACTGTTACAATTCTGGAACAGATTCTGAAGACTGGATTAACCAGACAAGTTTCCAAGGAATCCTGATGTTTACACAGAAGACTTGATGTGTTTCCTAGAAATATTAAAATTATGACAAGAAGCAGGTTGTAGAATGGAAATGAGAAGTCTACAAATTATGACTAAAATGAAGTAATTCTAATCTCTACCTCTGTTTGAAGTGGAATTCTCAAAAGTCAAAATGCCTTCAAATATTTTAATTCTACTCAATATTTCTGCTACTTTTTAAAAAGAAAACTTTTTTCGCTAAACCTATCAACAGTTTAGATTAAGGTAAGTTTTACTGCCATATAGATTCAGTTAGAGGGGTTGTAGAATTGTTCTCTGGTTTGTGTTTTCTAAAAGCATTGTCAAATACACAATATATAATCAACCTACATGGTATCCTAAGCATACACCATATTTAAGTATCTTAAAATTATTAAATCTTAAAACCATAAGCCCATGATTCAAACCTCTTATAAAATCTTCCACAATAGATGAGCATATTTTTAAAAATTAATTTTCAACTCTTACACAGCACTACATATTCAGTCACCCATCTTACATAAGACAGTCTCTAAGCTAGAGTTAAATAAAAGCAAGAAAAGCTGCACATTATTTTAAAATCTAATCTGGAAAGATTTTATGATAATTGCTTTAACAATCTACAGAACTTTACTCTTACATATTTGAGTTCACAGTCTATATGTACATTACTTTTTATCCTATCTTTAAGCTATTATCATGAATTTAATGACAATGTTAAAGAATAAATTTCATCTAGTCCCTCATAACACACAGAGCTAACAGATTCTGCCCTGAGAGCCAGAGTTTGCCAGTACTGCTCCAAACTGCCATTCTCGACCTTCCAGGCTTTACATCCTGCCTGCCTACAAAACTACACCCATGCTAAATCTCTACCTTAACCAACTTCTCTAGAATTTTTTCCCAGTTTGCTGTAACTTTAAAGATACATTCTGCTTAAATTCCTCAAGATTAGCAGTGTCCTGCTTTTATTCTAACTCTTGCAACAGCAGCTAAAATTCCTGTCATTTCAACAATAAACACCTGTATTCAACTATCATGCAATGTACTGAAGGAGTAATAGGAAAAAAAAAGAGAAAAACATACAAATAATATGAATAGTAAAACAAAATATGCCAGTATTAAAGACAGTCTTGAGAAAAGGTTTTAATAATACCTAGAAACTATTCATCAGGAACATTTTTATAGTAAAGATATTATACATTTAACACTGACACACAATTTTAACATCATCACTTTTCAATTACTACTCTCCCTCAGGGGAAATAAAGCTCACCATGTAGTTAGGTAATCCTATTTCAGGATAAAGCAGAGGCAACTCAGGGAACCACTTGTGTACCAAACTATTCAGCTTCTCCTAAATTTAAAAAATATTTTTATTATAGATCAATATATATTTGTGACATGTTGGTCTTCAGGAAAAAATAACATACCAGTAATTCCCTTAATATATATCTAGTAAGATATATATTCTAATAAGATACATAGCATAGTAAGATATATCATAACTGATTTGCCTTCTACTATAAGAAATACCAAATGAAAATGAAGTCATCTTCAATCTAAATTATCATTCAATAACACAAGAAAAAATTTACCAATTCCAAGTTTGGTGTAAATATTTAGGCACAAAATCTTGCCTATGGTCAAAACCCACACTTACTTTCAAGGTAAAATTAAAAAGTGTATTGATACACCAATCTGAATCATAAAATTGTCATTTCTCAAAATACTAAGAGCACAGTGACATTTAAAAATAATGGCTTTTTCATTGAGGAAATAAATCATAAAAGCTTTGAAAAAAAGATAAAAGATGTAGCTCTATAAAAACCACCTTGGAAGTAAATGTGAAAATCAAGGACTCGCAGAAATCATTTACCACATGTTTATTAAGTACTTAAGCTTTTAGACACTTGTCAAGTCACTGGGAGATAGCTCTTTAATCCAAGGTTCATAAGGTGAATAGTGAAGTAAGTATACACTGTCAGATGTTTGTTAAATAAGGTATAATACTTAAAATGTCTATTATTTTTATAGTATTTTTATTTTTCAAAGCACTTTGTCTTTCTTCTTCCCCATAACATCCCTGAAACATAAAATACAATATTCTTCCCTTTTTAAAGAAGAAATACACTGTCTCTCCCAAGATCACAAAAAAGAGTGCAGAATGGAGACTTAAAGATGTAACTCCTCCCCAAAACTAGGTAGTTTTGTTATATTCTTCAACTAAATTATGTTGCACCATTAATGTTTTCACTGCAGCTTTATGCTAAAATGATGTTCATATAGATTTTAATAAAGGAAAAAATCTTTAGGCTTTATGTTAAACAGAAAACAAGCAGCATGTGCAAAGTATAATCACACTCCAGCCTTGTTATTATAGTCCACTTTCATAAAATAGATACTTGAATTCAATTTTTAGAGTAAAAACTAATTCAAAACCTCAAAAAAATCAAATACTTACATACTCCTCCCTCTCGTGATAAACTTCCTGGAAGACACTACTGCGCAACTGAGTTATATCTTGTTTTATTTTTTCAATTTGAGATCCATCATATTCATCAGACTTTAATCAGAAAGAAAAAAGTATCCTTACAGATTTATTAAAGCATACTGAAAACAAGTTTTTCTAGTAAGAATTAATGCAACTTCTATACCTAGCACATAACACTTATACCTAACTCGTCACACTTGCTGAATTACTATTATTCTAATGCTGACTTTTCCAAAACCTGGAAAAAGGAATTATAAAAAATAAAGACATAAAATCAATTACATAGATTTTTCTCTCTGAATTTGCTGTAGACTTTCAAAGATGACTGAGTACCATCATAAAGTAAATGTCAAGAATAGGAACCAGAGAACCATTAAATTCCCTAGCTTTGATTTACACGTGAGAGTTGTCTAAAAAAAAAGGAGTCAGTGTGTGGTGTGTCTACTGGAGGAAAGACTTGGACTCACAAAAACTCCAAAACTATAAGGATAATAAATAAGCAAGCCCAAAATATATGTTTTCCAGCAGTAGACTCACAGAAACTGAGAAGTGACTAGTGGTTACCAAGGAGGAGGGGTTAGGGCGGATTGAGGAGAGGGAGACAAGGATAAAAGGGCACCATAATTCTCAATCACAATATAAATTGGTCACAGGGATGGTAGTACAGCATGGAAAAGAAAATGATTCTGTAACATCTTTCTACTTTGATAGACAGTAACTATGCTAGAGGGGGAGAGGATTTAATAATGTAGGTAACTGTTCAACTACTTTGTTGTACATCTGAAACCAATATAAGATTGTATAACAATGATATTTCAATTAGAAAAAGATATGTTTTCAAAGTTGGATATTTCTTCAAAATTTAAAAAGTTAAACTAAAAAATTCATTCATTCCCTATAGACAGAATAGGATAAAACTGGAAAAATCTTAAACTATTAAAGTAGGTCCAATCCATATCCAATTAAATGCTCCAAAGAGGAAGAAAGCTAATTCAAGTTGGATTAAGACATAATGTGGATCCCTTTTGTACATATACTGACTCCTCAAGGGAACACAAAGAATTAACCAATTTATACACAAAGTTCAGGCTAAATAAAGAGGTTAGTCCAGATTAGAGTGTCCTAATTCTCCCAAGTTCTATTATCATTTGAAAACAACTTTAAATTTTTGCAAGAAATGGTATGTCCAGCCATTAAAGAGAGAGTTAACAAAAGGCATCATAATCTTAAAAATACTTTATGTAAAACTTCTAATTTGGGGGAAGCACCCCATTACCTTGCATATAGTAGGTTTCTTTTATAATAGGCTTATGACAATTCAAAACTAAAGTTTTTTATATTATTCTAAAATGTTCCTGAAAACCAAGGCAGCCATGTTAATCGTTATTAAAAAACATTTAGTAACATGGCAAAAAGTTTACACTAATGTAATAATATCATTTACATACACAGAGGAAAAAAAGATAAAATATATAAAACAAAATGTAAATAACACTTCTTTTAAATAGTGTATTTATGCATTACTTTGATGAAACAGAGCCCAAGTAAAATGAGGTACACATAGAGTTCATTAAGAACCAACTGTTTCCTTACTTCTTCCAAATTATTCTTTTCAACCAATTTCCATCTCAGTTGAGCTTTTAAACTTTTCAGCGTCTTTTTAATGGACAGCAAGTGATCCACATTGGGACTCTTATCTAAACATTCAATAATCTTCTTAAACTAAGTGAGAGAAAGAGTTAGTTAGATTTTCAAAACATAGACAATATTTATTGAAAACTTACTGACCATTTCTCTATTAAGATTCAACTAGTGAGATTCAAGACAGCAGCATGAGAGGTGAGATGGAGAATTCCTCCTAAAACTACAGATAGTATGAAAATGTAGTTAACTGATACAACTAACCCTAAAACAACAAGAAAGAAGGCTGAACCAGACTGCATGCAGACCTCGCGAACAGAGCAGACCTCACAGAACAGGGTAATGTACGAAAGCCTTACTCAGGCAGGACCCAAGCCCTTCCCACACCTCAGCTCACCAGTGGGAGGAAGAGAAATGGAGTAGGGGAGGAGGTGGAATCTTGGGACTGCTGAACACCCAGCCCTGGAGGTCTGCTTTGGGAGCAGAAACCTACACTGTGTGGTGCTCTGGACATTGGGGAGCTCAGACAGGTGGAGTGCTTGAGAGACAGATTCCGGCCATTTGTGGAGGAGGGGATCCACACCAGCAGCTCTGTGTCAGAGGAAAGACAGACAGTCTGAGAGGCTTCCTAGCAACAAGAGTGCTGCTGAAGGAGCGGGGTTTGCATGGAGCTTGCTGTGTGGGGGAGGGGAGAACTGGACAAGGTTGTTTGGGTGCGCTCTGCCCAGCTGGTTGGCAACTTTGAGGAGCTTCGGGTGCCCCATCGCCCTGGCTGCCTACTCAGCTCCAAGGCCCCCCACTGTGACACACAGCCTGCTGCGCCTTCCTCCTAGCCTGCCAACACCGGTTCACAAAACTCCAGTCACTGTGCTGGCATCAGGCCAGCCAGAGGGAGGCCCTGCCTACAACAGCTAGAGACGCAAAACACACAGGCTTACACCTGTGTGCTTGGTCCACTGGCTCTGACACTGGAGACAGGCACTGCAGACAGGAAATAGGAAACAGATCTTTCCTAACCCCAGGCACCAGCTCCACTCCCCTATGATCCCCAGCCTCACTCTAGGGGCTAAACAGCTCCAGAGACTGGAGCTTCTGGGCACTAGTGGGCACCACAGAGAAATATGAAATGTCAAAACAACATGGTTCAGACCAAAATCTCACAAACCTCAGAAAAAGGGCCTAATGAAACTGAACTCACCAATCTGCCTGAAAGAGAGTTCATAATAAAAACCATAAACATGATTATGGAGGTACATAAAAATTTTCAAGAACTCAGGAATGAATTTAAGTCAGAGATTCAATCATTAAGAAATTCCATATTTGAAATGAAACATACAATGGAGGGATTTAAAAGCAGATTAGATGTAGTAGAAGAGATGGTAAGTGGAACAGAAATTAGAGAAGAGGAATACAAAGAAGCTGAGGCACAAAGAGAAAAAAGAATCTCAAAGAATGAAAGAATATTGAGAAAACTGTGTGATCAATCCAAATGGACCAATATTCGTATTACAGGGGTACCAGAAGAAGAGAGAAAGGGACAGAAAGTGCCATTGAGGATGTAATTACTGAAAACTTCACCAAGCTGAGCTCAGGCCATGGAGGTGCACAGATCTCCCAACACAAGAGACCCAAGTATGCCAACATCAAGACATATAACAATTAAAATAGCAAAGATCAAGGATAAAGACAGACTTTTAAAAGCAGATAGAGTGAGAGAAAAAAGATCACATACAAAGGAAAACCCATCAGGCTACCATCATACTTCTCAACAGAAACCTTACAGGCCAGAAGGGAATGGCAAGATACACATTTTAATGCAATGAAGCAGAAGGGCCATGAACCAAGAATACTATACATGGCAAGGTTATCATTTAAATTTGAAGGAGGGATTAAAAAATTTTAGAAAACGTTGAGAGAATTTACCTCCCACAAACCACTGCTACAGTGCATTTTGGAGGGACTCCTATAGATGGAAGTGTTCCTAAAGCTAAACAGATGGCACCCAAGGGATAGACAAAGAGTACAGAATATGATTCATAACATACAAAGAATGGAGGAGGAAGAAAAAGGAGGAAAAAAAAAGACAACCTTTAGGTTGTGTTTGTAATAGCACACAAAGTGAGTTAAATTAGACTGTTAGATAGTAAGGGAATTACCCTTGAACCTTTGGTAACCACAAATCTAAAGCCTGCAATGGCAATAAGTACATACCTACCGATAATCACCCTAAATGTAAATGG